ACGTACCGTAAGAATACACGTCGGGACGCCGATCTTTTGGTTTCTTTAATTCCACCACACGATGCCGTTATGTTAATCTTACGTTGTGGCCTAACTGTACCGACTTTATACATATACGTACATATGCGCGTTTACAGGCACAGGCACTTTACACACGAACGAATCGGAGTAACGAGTCATCGATCAGCAATTATAAAGTTGCGAAATTTGGCACGATAACAAATTGATTGGGCTTTTCTTTGAATTTCCTTTTTTTTCTTGAATCTTTCATTTCTCTCAATTACAAAATACAGATAAAATTTTTCGCTCTTTTGCTCCTTGGTTTTTTTTTTCAATTTGATATTAATATTTTTTAGTATGAAATGTATAAAATTGTTTTCTCGAGTAACGATAATTAAAAAATTTAATAAATCTCTATTTAAAATTTAATATTATCTTTAAAATTTTAAATACATTTTATTTTGAGTCAGATATTTGATAAAAATATTTATACAAAGATTTACATGCTGTATTAATTGAATTTTTTTATATAAACTTTAATATTGATAGAATTGCAAAATTATGGAATCAGATTTTTGTTAAGAGAAATTCATTATAATTTGATCCAAGATTTGTTAAATGAATATATGATTATTCTTAATTATATATAAAAAAATAATAAATATGCATATATATAAGTAATAAATATACATAAAGAATTATGAGAATTATGAGAAATATAATTATGAATTATACGAGAATGAAAACTCTTTTACCAAAGATCTATAGTTTAAATTAGCTAGCCAACTTTCTATAATAATTCCATATTACTGCTTTGTCACGTCAGATCTAACCGTAAATGTGCTCATTGCCGTGATCATTGCTTTTACATTAAAAAGAAAAATGTATTTTTACAGTTGCACAAAGATCTATAAAATATCCATCTCAGAAATAACTGTATTTTTAATCTTGTAGGATAATTACAATGACTATTATTTAAACCTACGTCATTTCTCTGCGTAAGAAGAAAATAATAATAAATTAAGATATGTTAACAAATAATGATGAAAATTAAATAATAAAAAATAAATTAAAAAATAAATAAATAATTAAATAATAAAAAAATAAATACTTAATTTTTTAATTAAATAAAAAATAAGATATTTCTTTTTACTGCAGATTCAAAATTTAATTTACCAGATATAATAACTGAATAATATTATTTGTACATAAAAATAATAGCTTTCCGGGAAATAAAATTCCCACTCGTTTAAGCTTGTTTTGACAATAGTAAGATTAAAGCTTTATATATAACTGCGATGCTAATATGTTAATTAAGCTAATGGAGGAAAGTGAGAAGGTTGTCTGGTCGCATTCCATACATGGTCTCTAATGTAAGGAAATATCTCATGGCTAGTTTATTTTTACCATTTTCTGCGTGTTGGGTCGTATCGTACTGTGCGTATGTCTCAAATAATAATGTAATAAACGCAAAATATGCGCCTGGGAAGGGATGAGTATCGCGTGCATTCAAACGTCGTGGACCGACATGCGATTTCCAGTCAGTCCGTCGTTGTTCTTCTTCACGCGCGGTTCTTCTCGATCGAGTCTCTTCGCTAAATCATCCGGATTCCTCCTTGACAGTTCCCGAGTGCAACGATTGCATAATTGGAAACCTTACGTGGCGTCTGACAATTATCGTAAGAATATCTCGAATAAAGGAATAACAGTGATAATTAGTGATGAACACGCAATGTTGCAATATTTGAGAAGCAATACTTGCAATATTGAACCCTCTAGTCGTCGAAAAAAATCTTTCAAAAATTCGTTCGAAATATTTTCATGAATATTAATTTCATATTATTATTAATGTTTATTCTTGCTTAATATTCTGTTGTGCATTATTTATTATTAATTCTAATGAATTTTTATTAAACATTTAAATTATTTATTATTAATTCTAATGAACTTTTATTAAATATTTAAATTATTTATTATTAATTCTAATGAATTTTTTTTGATAGAGTGAATTATCCTTAAAATCTCTTATCACTTATCGATGTGATATCAGAGAGTTTTATCTGCTTCGATCATTATTTTATATTTATTCGGCGTTAATTTGTTCAGTTAGTCAATTGTGAGCGACACACCTGTGCATGTCATTCGTCCATTTTCCTATGACATTATTGAAACGTACGTATTCGTATTCGCGAGTACATGGCTACGGTGTTGCGGTGATTGCCATAGACTCGCTCACGGAAACGTCAACCGGTGTTTCCGCCATAAGGAATATAAGGACGTTCGGAGCTACTGAATGCGTGAGAGCCGATAAAAGCCAGCTCTGCTGGCACAATGTGAGTCGAAAAAATTGTTTTTTCCCACTTGGCGATATTTCGAAGCCTCGTCCTCGATAAAAAAAAAGTACGAAAGGTGCGTAAATAAGTGTCGCGTGTGGGCTCGGCCTAAAAATAAAAGTGCGTCCGTCACGTCTCTCGAATCAGGACCCGCGACCGACACGCGCGTGTCTGATGTGAGTCATTCGTCGCCATTCGTCGAAGAATCAATTATCTTTCAAGTATCATCGTGAACACGCCGCAATGATCACGGACTGGGTAAGCTTTCGTTTTAATCGACTGTTAATTTAATGTTAAAAAATGATCCTTCTTATAACCACGTATAATTCGTGAATTAACTCGAGAGTTAAAAGTCTAGCTTAAGTTTTACTCCGAAAAAATCGAAATAATTTAAGTCTTCTGAGGCATGTTTTTGTAAGCATGTCTGATGGCTACACATTAAAAAAATGAAGAATAGTTGTTGGAATTTAGTGAGAGAAAATTTGAGATATAAGAGATTTGAAATCTCATTCGTTTTAGATTCTCATTTAGATTCGTAGATACAAATAATAATTATTAGTCAGCTAATTTTATTGTGTTAAGCTGCCATGTCATGCTTTACATTAATGTTATTTTCCGCATCCGTGATATCGAAAACGTCATCGTAGATATCACTGTAAATTGCATCATTGCAGAATTAATAATTGTCAGATAAAATGCGTGTTTTAGAGTTTTCTTTAATACCATGTTTTTTTCTGAATCAAAAGTTGAAACAGTTGCGAATAATCTGTAGGTGATATTTTTTATTTCATGTTATCATTTATTGTGGATCATGTATAGTGTTTATCGCAGCAAAAAGATGCCATAAATAAAAGATTTGATGGTGATTTGTATGCAATCGTCGTTCTTTAATAGTCTTTATTAATAATCGAAGAATCTATAATAGAGCTGGTGATTTCGAAGACTTCGATGTTCGAACTTCAAAGTTATATTATAACGTTATATTATAACGCGATAAATATGTTGCAACGTTTTATAAACATACATTTATAAAATTATAATAAATGTAATAAATATAATATGATAATAAATATAATATAAATAATAAATATAAATAATAAATAATATAATAAATATAATAAATATGATAAAATCTGAATAAAACGTTGCAACTATGTTGTTAAATTGAAAAATATACGTTTAAAAATTTTGATTTTTAATAATTTTTAATAATTTCTCAATAATTTAATTTTTAAATAATTTTTGTTTACATATATTAATTAATTTTCACTTTTATTTAAAATATTTTCAACGTTTCTTACATGAATTTGCAAGAATATATTTTTCGAAGCCTCGAATCTTCGAAGTTGTCAAAAGTAACAGTTCTAATCTATAATAGCGGTAATTAATTTGACACGTGTGTCACTTTTCTGTCACGTTCACCTGCTTATTATGATTCATAGTTTCTCTATTCCGGTGCAAAATATTTCCTCCGATATTCCTCGGGCTTTAAACTTTATAATCGCGGTAAGTCGGTTTAATAGTCGGCGGGACACAACGTGGCAAATATTTTCCGGTCGCTTCTTCCTTAACACCTTTGCGCATCAAATGCGTATCGTGCAGTTATTTCGCGGTAAGTGACTGGAGTAATTGCTTCCAGCTCCAGCATGCGATTCGTGTCATCTCGCAATAAAATTCAACGTACTTCTAAGCGCGTTACTAAATTACGCGCGAGCACGAGTTGGGCGTCGCTTGAATGATTATGTCACCGTAAAATGCAAACCCGACTCGCGCAAAGAGAAAACATTTACAATGGAACTGGAGTATCGGAATGTTGTTTATCGAAAACTTTCTAGGCCCGATCGAATTTACGTATTTCGATTCGAGGCTTCCCTCTCAGAGTCATTTAAAACGTTTACCCTTGCGATTCGTTGCTTATTTGTAGGCTGTTCCATTTTAATTTAGATGCTGTAATATCTCGAAGACAATGCATTTTCAAAAAAAATGTTTTCAATAAAACTTGTGCGATTTAAAGGAAAAAGAAAGATAAGAATATTATATCCCATCCTTTATTACGTGGAATATTATAAAAAATCGATTTATATAAAAAAATTAGGGTAGTTCCATTTAAAAAAATTAAATTGATCTTCATATGAACTTAACATTTACACCCAAGATCAAACTAATATTCCTATCTTTTTTCTCCCTCTAAATCCTACAATTTTTATCTAAAACATTTTTTTTTAAATGCATTGTTTACGAGATATTATAATGTCAAAGTTAAAATGAGACAATCTATAGTCTGATTTTCAAGGATGATCTTATAAAAATATCTAGTGTTTAGATTATAAGATATTTGTTTCCACAAATTATTAGATTTGCAGATCCTCAGCTCTATGAATATTTCATCTCTCCCGAGATGCATAAATATTATTGTGCATGAAAATTGTTATCTTATGTAGACACGAATGTTGATTATTATCTGAAGAAATATACAAATAAAATCTTGATAATGATGGTATAGTATAATGAGTTCCAATAGTAAAGCGAGAAATTGCTCCATTGGAGGCAGCTTTCTCTTTGTTAAATTGAAAACGCAGACTGATTGTGATGCTATTAAATAAATCGATTTTTAATAAATTATTAATAAACTTTCTAAGATGGTGGCATATAAAATTACTGTTACAGTTGGACACATGGTTCGGTCGGCCGAAAAAGGCTGGTCGGGGGAGTGGGACACGCGGCTATTCGGGCAGCAACACGATGCCCAGGCCACACTCTGGCGACGACATCAACGAGATCGAACAACAGCGTTGCATCATCGAGAGGATGGATGAGGAGACGGTGAACGACAGATTCGAGGAAATGCTGGTGAGTGCACACACATGTGTACTCTAATAGTTAAGTTCATAGACATATATTTTCGTCTGGTTCTTCCTCAAATATGCATCATTAATTTCTATTCTTAAATTTTATATTTTCAATATCGTGTAAAATAAGGTACTCAATTGTTTAATTAAATAAGATATTTCTTAACTATGTCGAAAATATCGAATATTTTAAAAGAGCGAGGAGGAAATTGTTGTCATCTTTCTATTTAGGCCAATATGAATCTAACTGAGGAGAAGAAGGAACCCTTGCGCCAGCAATCGGAATCTAAGAAGAAGGAGATGTTGGTATTGCACTACAAAGGCAGTATACAAGAGAACCGATCCAAATTCGATAAGCCGGCGGATTATATACAATATCTAGCGCAACCCGATTTAAGTGTCAACAAGATCTACAATTGCATCGAATCCCTCAGGATTGCGCTGACCAACAATCCGCTCAGCTGGGTGCAAGAGTTTGGCACCAAAGGGCTCAAGCAAGTTTTGGCTACTCTCAATGAGTGTTATCGAAAGTAAGTGGGTCTTACTCTTGGAAAAAATGTTCTTAGCATCTAGATGAGTCATTGAATATATTTCGATTAATTCTCTAACGATGGATATTGTTCTATTCCAGTGCCTTCATATATTATGATAGGTAATTCACGTAAAAGTACTATTTGCTTGACTGTTTTGCGATATTATTTGTTACGTTAATATCTTTTAACCGCCTATGTTACATTACTGATGACAGCGAAATGTTACTAGCAACAACGAAAAAACTATTTAATTTTCGAAAAACGCAAGATCTCCATAATTATAAAATAGTTTAATTACTTTATTTACGCCATTCGGCAGAAATTTTTACTCAACTATTTTACTTTAGTTTTGCATGATACGCATCCTGCTTATGACAGAAATCTGTAATATTACGAAATCCATGTCATTCTTTATTAATAAAAAAATAATTCATTTTTCCTCAGTGACAACCGTTACGAGCGAATACAATATGAATGTATTCGTTGTTTAAAGGCTATCATGAATAATACCGTTGGTATAAAGGAAATGCTGGCCCATCACGAAGCTCTTACGATCGTAGCCAGATCACTGGAACCGACGAAACCATCCGTCATGTCCGAAGCTGTAAAATTACTCGGCGCGGTGTGCCTCATATCGAGCGATAGTCATAAAAAGGTTTTAGACGCAATTACTATGAATGGCGAGTTCAAAGGTCGGGAAAGATTTTTGCCCATCGTACAAGGATTGATGAATAAAAAGAATGAAAATTTAAGGGTACGTTTTATTTATTTGTACAATCAAATTAATTAAAAGAAGATTGATGAAATTTATGTTTAACAATTTATGATGCTAAATTATTATATGTATAAAATATTATTATGAAAATGTGAACATTTTCAGCAACCTATATTTCTTTTTTATTTTTATATTCGTTCAAAAAATGTTTATTTGTTCATTACAAATAAAATATTGTATAAAATATGTATAAAATATTATGAAAATGTGAACATTTTCAGCAACCTATATTTCTTTTTTATTTTTATATTCGTTCAAAAAATGTTTATTTGTTCATTACAAATAAAATATTGTATCGCAGGTAGTATGCCTTCAACTCATAAATTCGATAATATCATCCGCCGAGGATCTAGATTTTCGCTTACACCTCAGAAATGAAGTAATGCGAGTCGGTTTAGCTGACATTCTCGAAATGTTAGAAAAAGACGAGTCGGAAGATTTGGCGACGCATTTAAAAATTTTTAATGACCACAAAGAAGAAGATTATGAGGAATTTGTACAGAGATTTGACAACGTACGTTTAGAATTAGACGATGTTAACGATTGCTTTGAAGTAGTCAAAAATATGGTAATGGATACTACTGCCGAGCCTTACTTTTTATCTATACTTCAACACCTTTTATTTATTCGAGATGATGCTCTGGTTCGGTAAGTAGACAATTTCTTTTATATTTACTTATAATTTTTTTCTCACAATATTATCAATAAATCCAAATCTATTTTTCTTGTAATGGCAACTTTATTTATTTATTTTGCTTATTTTTTAGAACGGCGTATTATAAACTGATCGAGGAATGTATATCGCAAGTCGTATTGCATCGTTCAGGCTGTGATCCGGATTTCAGTGCGACGAAGCGCTTCCAGATTGACGTGCAACCGTTAATCGATACCCTAGTCGAGAAATCACGAGCTGAGGAGGAACGTCGATTGGTAGAAGTAACGCAAAAGCTAGAAGAAGCTATAGCAAGTAGACAAGAAGCCGAAGCGAAGCTTCAGCATGCGGAAAACAAGATCAAAGAATTGGAGCAGGGAACAACAAAGTCTGGCAATTCTGTAAGTATACCTATATTGATTAAGTCTTTTTTTAGACATACACACAGTCTTTTATAATATCAATTTGTCATGTTATTATATAGAGAGCTGCTGTATGTCCACCTCCACCACCTATGCCTGGTATGGGTGGATCATTGCCCCCGCCACCTCCTCCTCTTCCTGGTAGTGTTGGTCCACCTCCAGTGCCCGGAATGACTTGTCCACCTCCACCACCTATGCCCGGCTCGAAAGGACCTCCACCTCCACCTATGCCTGGCATGAAAGGACCCCCAGCACCACCTATGCCAGGGATGATGATGGGTCCACCACCGCCACCAATGGGGGGATTATCTCCACCGCCTCCGATGGTACAGGTATTGCCTCATGGGCTAAAACCGAAAAAGAAGTGGGAAGTAGATGGACCACTAAAAAGGGCGAACTGGAAAGCGGTATGTACGACTAACTTACATTGTTCGAAATTATCAATAAAAAGTATTATCAATTTGAACATAACTATTTCTTAAGCGTATTTAATGTTAAATAAATCTATGACGCATTTCAGATTTTGCCTCATAAATTAACAGAAAAGTCATTTTGGACAAAAGTACAAGAAGATAGATTAGCTAGTCCAGAAATATTGAGTGGTCTCGCGCAAAAATTCTCATCAAAACCAAGTGGAAAGAAAATGGACGATGTAGTTGATAAGTAAATTTCATCTTATCGATTATCATTTTTATTTTATATATAGAATATCAATAAAACTTTGCTGTGCACGCAGGTCAGCTCAAACGAAGAAAGTAAAAGATCTCAAAGTTTTGGATAGTAAAGCGGCTCAAAATATATCGATACTTCTTGGTGGCACATTGAAGCACATGCCTTATATAGAAGTGAAGAGATGTTTATTTAGATGTGAAGGACCAGTTATTTCTGACAATATATTACAAGGATTAATTCAATATTTACCACCACCAGATCAATTGTCAAAGCTGCAAATGTACAAGGATCAGTACAATGACTTGACTGAAGCGGAACAATTCTGTGTTACAGTAATTCTACTTGATTTTTTAAATATATATTAATGCATTTGAATTCATTACTAAATATAAAATTGATAAATATAATGTTACAGATATCTACAATAAAAAGGTTACTGCCCAGATTAAGATCATTGAGTTTCATGTTGCGATACGAAGAATTGGTACAAGATGTTAAACCTGACATAGTAGCGGCTACAGCAGCATGTGAAGAAGTGAAGAATAGCAAAAAATTTGCCCGGATACTCGAATTAATATTATTACTTGGCAATTATATGAATTCCGGCTCCAAAAATGGCCAAGCATTTGGATTTGAAATTAGCTTCCTTACAAAGGTTTATTTCTTAGTATATATAAATACAAATTGCTCATCATCACGTAAGCTGTTCCTCAATAATAATTTTTTTTTTCAGTTAACTAGTACTAAAGATATCGATAACAAACAAACTCTTATGCATTATTTGGTGGATACGATAGAGAGAAAATTCCCAGAATGTCTCAACTTTATGGAAGAATTAGCACACGTAGATCGCGCTAGCCGAGTATCTTTGGAGAATGTTCAACGGACATTACGTCAAATGGAAACCAATATTCGTAATCTCGAGCAAGATCTTTCGAATGCTAAAGTTCCACAATGCGATGAAGACTTTTTTATAGACGTTATGAAAGTATCCTTTACCATTTCTTTAATAATAATTATTAATTATTAATACCGACATTAGATAGAAGACATTAGAATTGATCAGATAAAAATATTTCCTTGACAAAGTCACTTTGTAGCCATTCGCTAAAAAAGCCAGGGAATCCTATGAAGTTTTGCAGAACATGTTTAAAAATATGGATACCTTATACACGGACATCTCCGAATTCTTCTCCTTCGACAAACAAAAATACACTATAGAGGAATTCTTTGGCGATATCAAGACGTTCAAAGACGATTTCTTGGTAAATACGCGTCATTTTGGACTGCATCGTTATCGAATCAGTCTTAATGCGTCTATGTTCTCACCGTAGCAATCGCAGAGGGAAATAGTAAAACTGAAGGAAGGTGAGGAGAAGCAGAGACGGGCAAGAGAGGCGCGCGAGAAAGCGGAAGCCGAAAAAGCGGCTCGAGCCGCACGCAAACGCGCATTAGTCGATATGAACGCACACGAAACGCAGGAAGGTGTCATGGATAGTCTGATGGAAGCACTGCAGACTGGCTCGGCCTTCAGTCGACCGGATCAACGACGCAAACGACAAACGCGTGTAGCTGGTGGTAAGTTCTATAGGACATACAACTGGAAACGAATGGCGAAGAGGGATCAAGCAATTCAACCGTATATGTTTACTAATACTTTATCTACTAAGTTAACATACGAATATGAAAACGTAACTCCAACTGAGACTCTGCGACACAATATGATTTCGAATAGGATTGTAACTAAATTATCTACGGCGAATGACTCGACGAGCTTTTTTACACCGGAAGAGAATCAGGAGCTCTACAAGCGAATGTTGCTAGAAGAGGCCACGAAAACACCTAAGCAATTAAAACGTCCATCTAGAGTCACGTACTTTCAGAAAAAGAAACAATGCAGCCGTTGTAATCTTGCGTATTATACGGCGATGCCAGTATTCGATGAAACACCAAAAAGAGATATTTTCTTAAAAACAGTTACGAACTTGGAATCCAGATGCGTTAACGCTGATTGGGAGTCAAGCCCGTTAATCGATCAAAACGTTTCTATTAAACGAGCACGTATAATCAGTCCGGTTAAACAGAGACGCGTTTTAGTCAGCAAGATACGCAGGAGAAATAGCATTGTACGCCGCGCTATATTCAATCGTAAACGTATACGCGCCAACAATAAGATTGCAAAATATAGATTGCACAAATACTTGCAAAGTCCACCTAATATGAGTAGTACTATGCCACTGGCCATGAACTCGTCAGTTATAAGTTCGAATTCCGCAAAAAATACGAAAATGTCCAAATCAGTCGACGGTCTTCACACTAAAATATTTAAAACAGCATATACTCCGATGAAACTCTTACGAACGAAAAATTTTGAAAATCTAGCGCGACACAAAGACGAAGCTCAAAACGTATTAGATGTGAAAAATAGATCTTTAAATTCCAGCATATCTACACAGTTTTCAAGTAACGACCAGATGACTAACGCACAATCACCATTATTGATCGAAATGAGTGGAGTTACGTTATTATCAGAAAATAGTCCGTTGCATTTGATAAAGCCAAATCGTACTTCTAAGAGCAGTCTAAATATATCTGGGAAATTATTTGGTAAACCTATTTCGGAAACAAGCAGTCCAAATGCAAAACATAATCTTAGAATAATGAAGAAGCTAAAGGATAGATCATGGAAAAAGAAATGGAAATTTTGGCAGACATCTAGCAACATAAGCATTACGTGATGTAATTATATTAAAAATTAGATTGATATATATATGAAAAATGCAAGAAGACTGAGAGACGAGAGAAAAAAAATATAATTTTAACTATTATTACAAAACTATTATTACAAAAAACGTTAATGCATTCTAGAATCATTAAATGATTTTTTCATCCATTTTTCGAAATATGTAATGCAATAACTTATCCCAAAACTATTGTTGCAATAATATTTTCACATTATAATTAACAATAATTTAAAAAAATACAATGTAAGAATAATTATTTTGCACTATTTATATTAATTTGAAATTGTTTAAGCTTCACTTATGTCTAGGATTATAAAACTATATTAATTTTTAATGGATGTACAGTGTAAATAACTCGGTTATCTATAGATATGTAATTACATCTAAATGCTATACGAGCTGTTCAAGACTGATAATTGTGATACATGCTGTGATCTGAGAGCTTTAATATATTCACATAGCATTTTACTTAAATATCTCAAGTGCCTTAGGCAAATAAGGGTATTTAAAAGATATTTTTTAGTCTTAAATATTATACACATATTTGATATATGCAAATATATTGATAAAAAAGCAGAAAATACGAGAACGAAATAATAAAATTATCAGAAGATTTTTGTATTATTTTGATCATTTGTCTGGATTACAAAGTTTAGTAAGAGATTTAGATGTAATTTCACAATAAATTTTTCGATATTATTTAAGTAATGTATTGCAATATTAAAATTTAAAAAAATTTTTTTTCTAATAACACTGATTTATAAAAAAAAGTTTATATTATTTTTACGATTCTTAATGTATTTTTTTTTTAATTTTTTTTTTCAATTTTAAATGACATAAAACAATTGAGTTTTTGACAAATAATGTATTACAGACTATTTTGTATCAAAATATATATATTTTTAATTACATGCAATAACGAGTATTTTTGCTTGTCTTAATATTGTTTTCCTCAATGTTTGTATATCGTATCATTTAGCATGTATGATCTGTGAGATGCTAAGATAGGAACATTCTTCAGTATCTGTCGATATTGTATAACATTTAATTTTTTTATAAAGCAAAAATTTTTTTTTTAATATTACTCTTTATTTTAGTATGATATATATAAATCTTACTATCTTTGAACAGTATCAAGCTTGCTGTAATGAGTTCAATCCTGTTTTAATTTTGCAGCGGAAAGGAGAGCGCAACTAAATAGGAGTCGATCACGTACCGGATTAGTCGGATCTGGTTTACTAGGGAGAGAACTTTCGACGTAAGTACTATTCATGTAAAAGTAATGCTTACTGGGCAAACAAGGCATGTTTGAATCATACGCTTGGTTTCTTACATGTATATTACATGTGCTTTAGAAATAATATTTACTTACATCCGGAAAGCAGACAATATAATATAATTTCGAGTATCAAGGAACGCGGTAGCGTTCGCGTCAAGTGTATTTATTATTTATACGTGAATAATGTTATACCGGAAAGTGAAGAATCATAGAATCTAATTTTAATCTTATTAATTATATCTACATATCGTTTTTTTATTTCGAATAATATGTTATACGTTTATGGGAAATAGATAAAAATTTCTAATGCTCCATTTCTAATAATAAAACAAAGAATATATATTTCTGAAAATATGAAGTGCTATAATTGACTCACGTATTTTCTACCCAAGTGACTGTATTTGTTGACATTTAAGCTTCTTAAATATTTATCTAATAATAAAACAAAGAATATATATTTCTGAAAATATGAAGTGCTATAATTGACTCACGTATTTTCTACCCAAGTGACTGTATTTGTTGACATTTAAGCTTCTTAAATATTTATATGTGTAAATATACTGGTTATCATATCCTTATCTCTATCCATTGTTGTTGCAGAGAGCTCTTAAGTTCGGCATAACGTACTGGAAAGTATCCCGTTTCCGTCCTAACTCGTTGCTGTGATGATTTTACATCTCGTATATCGTTGGAACGACAAATGGGGAATATCATGCGACACGATAAATCGATATCATAGAGAAGAGATTGAGAAGAAGAGAGAAACTCCACATTTTAATAATCCCCCGACGTAAATCGAATTTTGCGAGACTTTGCATCAAGTTCGAGTCGCAAATGCAACAAACACTCGCGAGTGTGTCTTCCTTACGTATTTAAACATTCGAATATAGGTATATTGTACAAAAATATAATTAACGCATTTATATGACGTAGCGAAACTTGCGTCAATACTTGATAAAAAAAGCGCACTTGTTGTAAATATGCATACGTAAAAACTGGCGACGAGTTGGCAATTTATTAAAATTGTTTGCCAACGCGATGTACAGATACAATTTTTATCGAAACTAGCATTTTTTTACCACTATCTTTCGATGATCGGGCGACAGATTGCATTTATTTATATAGTGCGTTATTATTGTAAATATAAATATTTCTCATCTCAAGAGTTGTCGCGATCCGATATTATTATGACTATGAGATGCATTTGTATAAAGATTATTTATCTCCGTAGTGACTTCTCACTTACTACGGAAAGTAATAGTGTAAAAATACGCCTTTTTTTGGCGTAACAATATTTTGCATGCAATCGGAAATTGTTGCATGACGCGAGGAGGAGGTTCGTAATTATCGCTTATTTTAACATTATAAAGTGAAAACGGTGATTTATCTATAATTATTTCTTTCCTGAATAATCCGAAAACTACCATAAAGCGTAATTTGACGTTTGCGTCATTCGTTGTTCGTATAATTTTCATTCTAAAAATATTTTCAATGATAACAGATGTTCAAAATACCTTGCTACTATACAAAAAAGATTTGTACACTGAATTAACGCACAATTCTGCGACATATTTTAATAATAGTTTTTATTCATCTTGTAAGAAAAAACACATTTTTTTACAATGCAAGTACTACACTACCGATATACGTTAATCTACGAGCAAAAAAAACTGAAATTACTTTTAAGACAAATAGCTAATTCAACGCAACGTTTGCATTTTGTGATAACTGAACTGCTTGATAACACAGGTTCGCGATATTTTCGATACTTTTGATAGCGATGAATGAAACTCAGGGAGAGAGAAAGAGAGACAGAGGCAAGTCTTGGAAGACGGATATGTGAACATTACGGATCCGATTATGGCAATATATGATAATAACACGCAAAATAATTACATTGTTTATTATCACGTTTATATAAGTGAAAAAAAATGTAGGAATATCAACAGATTAAAGATACGTGAAATTAACCAATGTAAATGATAAAATAGCAGAACAGATTGCAATTCGCTCACTTCTTACATGCACGCTAGATTTGGAATGTTGATAAAAAAATCGATTACTATCTTCAACGACAGGTGATTGATACTCCAGTAGGCTAATACGTATCATAAACATCATCCAGGAAACGATAGTTCCAAATGCAACATGGAAAATAATGACAATTATCTATTGAAAAAACTTTGCCGATTGAATAAGAGAGCGAGATTGCATCGTGTTTAGTTAGTTAGCAAATAATTGCGAGTCACGTGGTGGGGCGACTATGCCAAGCACGTTCGAAATGTCTAGCGAAAGGCAACGTAACGAGCCGGTTCCCCAAGCTGTAAAAATCGAGGAAGTATCTCCACGACATCGCATTTTCAAGCTCGTTTCGCGTGCGCACACTTTTTGTACATAATAATCGGCGACGAAACGCGAAACGTTATGTGGACCATTTTAAATACGTACGTATATTTCAATGCAGCTTTTATTATATATATATATATATCGAGTAATATTCACGTCGAAAGGAGATAAAGAGAGAAAGTGCGTCAGCCGTATTTCCCCGAAGTAATTATACGTACCTGTACAAAATTATATATACCGCGGAAATCACATTTGCCTATAGATCGAATCTCGTAATGAATGAACGATTTGTTAATATTGTAGTTAAATATTTAATTTAAGACTTTAAATGAAGTATCCATCTGTATCATACTGTGAATACGCGGATTTAAGTAACATTATAAATATTATTATTATTATCTATTGTGTACCTATTATTTCTCAACATTCTTTAGTATCGTGTCATTGTGAGGTATTCACTGATTCAACATCCGATGAAAGTAGAAATCGATTATAATCGTCGATGTCACTGTATTGCATTCATAAATATTAGGCACTTTTCAACCTGAAATATTATTTATAATAATAATTGATTTGTTTTTTTTTACTTTCTCGCAAGAGTAAAAAAATAGAAATTTTACTGTACATATTTTTTAATGATACTCTTATTCTAAACATATTTATTTGATTAAATCAAGCATTTGTTGCGTAAGTCCAACAATTTATGAACGACGTTATACTTATATCTAAATAGTTATAAAATGCGGCTGATTACGCTTGTAAAGATGCGAATATGATGAAAAGAATACGAAAAGCAAGTGAAAATTGAAAGCTCGTAACGAGAAAAATGAAATCTGTTTATTTCATCGTTAGATAATCTCCGATTCTCGGGAACGCAGTCAAAGTCCATCGAATATGTTAACGCCATGAATATCGAGAGAAATCGAGGGAACGTGAGCGAAGTTGTCGGTCGCGAACTGCGAACGACACGCAGTCACGCGTGCGTTACACGTGATATCGATCGATCATGTTTAAGAGAAACATACCTTGTTCGTTCACCTGTTTTGCGTCCGAGTCCTATCGTGTTTTTTTTCTTCACATCCGAGGACACGATCCAAATTCCCTCGTAATAATCTTGTCGATTCCATCATGGTTTAGCGCAAACGTTGTTGTTTCATAGTTGCAATATTCGTTAAATCTAATAAAATATTAAAGCAAACAAAACGACAACAGCTTTGCATTTAGCTGCAAACTTATTTAAATATGTATATTATGTAACTTATGAAAATTCTAGGAGAAACCTATGTTGAAATATTTTAATAAATTTTTATACACTGTATATATACTTTTACTGCAAAGACACTGATCTAAATGACACCGAATGCATCGCCACAGCAAATACAAATGTGTCATAAACAAGGCAATTAATAACCATGATGTGTAATTCTGCATCGTGCATAACATCGTGACCCAAATGCAATAGTCGTAATACTTGTAAGATAGCTATTACTACGTGTGTAACTGGCGGATATAAATGTTTTATGTCTACAACACAGACCATTGTTGTTATATTGTAGCAATATTGCTGTAATATAGCAACAACGATCTGTGCTGTATGGCTTGAAAAAGAAAGTAAGTTTGAATTAATCGATCAGTCTGATCTAATCTTGGAATGGCGAGGCAGGTCTCAATATTTTCCAACTATCTACGATCCTTTTCAAGCAACAATCACAAATTCGTCTCTCGTGTTCTTCCTCCGCCGTCGTTTAATGATTTTAATGACGACGTTGCGTAAACTTGCCTGTCGGCAACAACCGATCACCTTCTGCTCGATAGCATTAATGCATATTTAACGACGCGCCGCGACTTTCGAAAACGCGCCCGTCCTTTCACCAAATTCGATCGCGCTTCTCGTAAGCGATCGAGGGAAATATATGTATTATATATAATATATGTATAAAATATATGTGTAATATATAATACGCCCCAGGAAACGCCAAATAACTGTTAGTTACAATTTCCCACTCAGCAATATAACTGTTACATGTTATGTAATAGTTATATTATAGAGTGGAAAATTACAATTAACAATTATATAAATGTTACTCGGTGTTTGCTGGGACCATGTATATTTCATTCAGCCATGGTGCTAACGCCCGGCCTCGAATATTATTCATTCGAGGATGATTTCTTCGTCGCATTCCAGGCAGCGCGAAAGGCCGCCCCGACCTTTCCCCCGACGACGACCGTCCTCGGACCCCTCCGCGATTACGCCACTGCGGGGTGCCCGCGGCATCAGTATGTCAGGGTATACCTCTATGGGCACGCATACCTCATACGCATGCAGAATTCCGCGAAAGGAGCAATGATGTAAAAAAGTTGTTCGTGTTATTTCCAGCGGTAGAAAATTCGCATTTCGTTGCAAACACTTTAGACATATCCTGAATGTAGGGCTTGACTAATTTAAATTTTTACGAGCACAGAGTATGTGATTATACGCAGAGTAAAGGATATGAACAGGTAAAAATAATAATTCCATAGGTTCCTACAAAGATTTGTTTTTTCGCAGAGGATCTCCATCGAGATATTTGTCTTTAAAGTTAAAATTTTTCTCAATAAACTTTTATATCACTCTATCGTGTGTGGATTTGAATAATTTGTAATAATTATTTTTATGTGTTAAGTAAAGAGATCTTTAAAATATATATAGTGAGATGGAGATTTCTTGATTTCGTGACGAAAAGTCAGGGACGACCACCTATAAGTCTTTAAATTAAAAAATTTTGAATTAAGAAATTTTGAAGTCGTAGGTTTTTTTTATTTTTAAATGTGTTTTAAATTTTTCTACATATTTTTCTAAAAAAATTTTTTTTTCCAAACATTAATTGTTCGTAAAAAAAAAAAAAAAAAAATTTACGTATTACCATCCGCGTTTTTAGGCTCTTATCGCTCGTTTCATAATTATCATGTTATTTTTATTTGTTTCCCAAAGAGATTGCCCATTTTTATCGAAATACCTCGTATATTATTAAAAACGTAAAGAGCAATCAATGATATATAGGCAGTATAATGTCATGAGTGAAAAATAATCTCAAATATAAAATATATAAAAATTTTTTTCTCTAAGAGAGTCTTAATTTTGAAAAAAACATGTTCTAAATTTCTCGGAAATGTTTTGCTATATAAAGTTAAATTGATATTTTAAAATTCTGCGTATCTAGAAATTCGTCACTGTTGATTAAGAAATTCTTTATATTAATGAGGTGTTATTTATCTTTCAATCTTACGTTTAATCTTTTACGTATATCAAATGCGATTATAGGTAGCCAACTCATTGTCAGATAAAATTCTGAGTCACAATTCACAAATGTTTAGAAGAAAACGCTATAATTCAAACATGTATGTGTGTGTGTCTCCAAAATGTTAATTTCATAAAATTCATTAAATCAGTTCTGACATTTACTTTATAATTTTATCAAAATCACGCTAATATATTAGCTTTTTAACGTGTTTTTTTATTATTTAGTTTTTTATTTAATTATTTTTATATATATTTAGTTTTTTTTTAGTTTTTTTTTAATAAAAAGAATCTGAGCTACCAGTAAAAATAAGGAATTTTTTGAAAACTTTAAAATTATTTTATAGACAAAATTATTTTATAAACTCCTTAAAATTATTTTATAAACAAAATGAATGAATTGAATCTTAATAATGGATAAAAGAATTTTTCGGAAGGATGAGTATAGATACAAGTTCAAAATGAACTTTGCCGAATACGTCAAGTCACGTTGAGTCCTTTCTACATTTTGCGCGTTGGCTTTATATAAATACCTGTGCGACAGGTTTGATTGCGCAGCTGTGCAGCTAAAATGCATAAATTTACTATAATTTTATCGTTAATCGGGCCAATCCACGCTAATCCACGTTGCTCGGCTCTACTTTAATCCAAGTCGACAGCCGCGAGTCTTTTATTACTAATAACGGTCATCGCGAGAATTATTCTGACAGTTTAGGCGATTTAAATGATTAACGATGCGAATTGTCACTCGACAAAATACGTAACATCATCGACAAGAATGCTCGAGAATGCATTTATTCAAAAATAAAATACCGGAACGAAGAGAAAAGCAGGATTCTTCGAGAGAAAATCTGTTAAAAATTCCTAAAAAAAAAAAAAAAAAAATGGAGCCACCATGTGGCTACCGGAGACTCCGGAAACAATAAGATCGACAATAAATAACGACCAACGGCCATCGGTTAGCCCGGTGCATTGTACCTAGGGACCTGCAATGGGCCCGCGCCTCGGTATAAGTAGCATGTATATGTGTTATATAGTGTGTGTATGTATACATGTGAGTGTGTGTGTATGTGTATGTGTGTGTGTGTGGTATCCTTGCACGGGCGCCACCACGTCGCCAGCGCTCCGAGAGTTCTGGCGACAGTCCAACACGAGCGGTCGCGTGATACGCGTCTCGCGTGCCCTCGTCCCGCGCGCTAATCGTCCGTTACGCGCGACTGACAGTTGACTTGACAGTTGACCGGCTGATCGGCCCGCCAGGCCGAGGACCCGCGAGCCCGGAGGCGCAGCTGTTTCGCGCCAACGATTTATCTCCTCCTCCTCCTGTCCGCGGTCGATATCCCGCTTCGATTTGCCGCGCCGATCGACGAAATCGAGAGTCGCTTGCTTGCTTCGCTTTCGAAGCGAGAGGAGTCACGCGAAGGATCGCGTGCACGGGAGGATCGTCTTCTGTCACGACGATCGTAATAGTTGCGCTGCGATTTAAATACGTCGCGGCCTGAAAAACTCCGGAGTTGATCGTCGAAGTGATAAATCCTGGTGCTCGATGACACAGGACGTGGCGAAGAAATAATGCGACGACAGCCACAATGAATGTTCCGATCGTGGCAGGGGACATCGTCGACGATGGCGGCTTCAACCGGCCGCGATTCGTTCGGGTAAGTGATGTATATGTGTGTGTGTGTGTGTGTGTACTACCGATCGTTCCTTCATTCGAATTTCACGGTCTCGTAATTTTGAATCGACGGACTTATCGCGCGTCTCAAGGATGATCGTTAAATTCTCGGCGCGAGATTAAATTCCGCGTCGTGCAAGTTTTTCGAACGGTCGTTGATTTTCATCGATTATTTTCATCGATCTGCCGGATGATCGCTGTCAAAGACCCGTGCGTACTTTCACTTTCGTTTCTATGTAACGATGTGCATTCAGGGTCGCATTTACCGTTAAACTAAACGCTACCGTCTGTTGCTGAAATCCATTTTTCCTACGTTGATGAGTCACATTTAGCGATAATTAAAATATAAATTATAAGATATAAATTAATTAACAATGTAAATGCGACTCTCTCTTGAACACACGAAGAAGAATAAGTAATTTTCATATGGAAAGTAGAAGAGATAAGTTTAATTTTGTGTTAACGTAAAACACACACGTGCGTCAGAAAATCAGACGTGACGATAAAATTCAGGGGACGATTTGAAGAAGTTTAATTTTTTTTTATTTGTAACGCTACGCTCATACATAATGAGGATCCTTCGAGCACAAGTGCGATATCATTGTGCAAAGAAACGTACGACGTATTAAACACACGTGCGTCGCATACGGACCTTAAAGTTTCAACCAACATCCGAATAAAGTTACATTATATGGAACTCGTAACAATTTCAACTATAATTCAAATCATAAGAGACAAATTTAATAGACTAATAATGAAAGAAATCATTTGAATCATTTTATCGAAAATTTTGAATCAATTTTAAATAATTTTATCAAAAATTCAGAATTCTTCTTTCTTTTTTTTAATTTTTTTTACATATTCTGACAATATTCTTCTCCTAAATAAAATATTTTGGATATTCTTTCGTCTTTTTATACATATTTTTTTTCATAAAAAAATTATATTTTATTTGGATAAAAATTAAAAAATTATTTTGAAATCAAAATCTTGTATGTACATGTGTGAAATTCTATATTTTTTCTGTTTGCATTATTTAATACATTCTCTCTAACTTTTTAACTTTTTTAAAATGCTTTAAACAAAACATTTTTTTCCGGAATAAAATACTTTGAATATTTTTTTAATTTTTATACAGACAGAAAGAATTAATATTTTATTCAGATAAGAGTTAACAAATATTTTAAAATAAGAATCTTGTGTATGCAATTCTGTATTTTTTCGTCTTATATTATTTACTAACTTATTCCTAACTTTATTTTATATACTTTAGACAAAATATATTCTTCTTCCAAATAAAATATTCTAGATATCTTGTTGTTTTAGTCACACATGAAAAAGTAATATTTTATTCGAATAAAAATTACTTTGACGTAAGAATCTTGTGCGTGAATATTTTTTCTTCTTGTATTACTTAATAAATTCTCTCTTTTCTAATTTTTAAAATTTTTGTATGTACTTTAGACAACATTTCTTTTCTGAAATAAAATATTCTGAACGTCTTTTTCGTTTTTATAGTTATCCACTAAAAGAGATAATATTTTATTCAGATAAAATTCAAAAATTATTCTGAAATAAGAACCTTGTGTGTGAAATTTTGTATTTTTTTCTTGTATTATTTAACAAATAAATTTAATGTTATGCCATCAGAAAACGTAAACAAAGTAATATTACGTCACATTGCGTGTCTCGTAACACGCAAAGGAGCAGCTACCTCAAATAAGATTTTTTTCTTGTAATATTCTTATATACTTCGTCGTTAATATAAAAGCATATATGATAAAATCAATAAGTATTTAAAAGTAAATAAAAGTAAATAAATCTCTTAAAGCATATAAATAATTATAAATAAATTATTTTCGTTATTTTATCGGATGTTATATATATTTTATATATATATAAATGTATTTTAATAATGTATAACACATATATATATATGTTAAACACACACACACACACACACACACACACACACACACACACACACACACACACACACACACACACACACACACAACATATATATATATATATATATATATTACACACACACATATATATATATATATATATATATATATATATATATATTTTATACAATACTATATGAATTGCGCGAGATATCAGAGTGCAGTTGCATATTGTGTGAATATACGGAGAATTTTAGAAAAGTTCTACGAAGATACAATGCGTAGTATTACTATTATCATCATGGAACAAAAGATAACGATACCTGTTATTGAAATAGCTACATCAGCGAAAGAGCGTTTTATATCAACTGTACTCATTAACACATTATATTTCATTATTTACTTTTATCACTTTTAATTTACACACTATTGTCTATTATATATGTATTATATGTTGAATATTTACAATTAATAGAAATATTTCTATAAAAATTGAAATTTGATGATTTCATTCACAGATATAAGAATATATACATATTCAATTTAACACTATTTCGCACATATAACAGATTCCATTAAACTTAATTTATGCATAATGTACATGTTAAGAAAGCTATGTTAAATAATTTGCTTAATTTTTTGAAGCAGGCAAATAATTGAGTAATTTTTGCAACAAAATTTTAGTGTTTTGATAATAATAGAAGAGCTATTTTTTTTACACTACGGTTTCTTACACGCTTAGGCTCTATCTAATTCGCGTAATTGCTTTAACGAGATGTACATCGTGAAACAACACGTGCCTATTGTTATCCTGCGTTCTTAAGAATGCATGCCTTCTCACTCGACTTCTACATTTAAGCGATAAACGTAGACGATGTAATTGCTTTTCGATTAAATACTAATTTTGATAATGATAAGAATTTTCATTTAATCTGAATTCTTTAAATTCCAACATGTACTCGAAATAGAAATTGTCGTTTTTATTTGTCAATTGAAAAATTAAAAATAATTTTTTTATAAATTTTCTTTGTAAGAAAGTTAATAAATATTTATTCTATATAAATTTAATAAATTGAGAAATTTAATAAATATTTATTCTATATAAATGGAATATATTAATATTATCGAGATAAAATCCAAGAAATATTATGCATTTGTTTTATCAAAAATTCATCGGTTGTCTCGCAATAAATATAAATAAATTATTTTTACTTAAAAGCAAATATGCAATAATAGAATTTTGTTTATCATAGTGATCTATACGCGAATACCACATCATTATAAATTGTAATTTTTTTCCTCACTGAACATTAACTCTTAAGTCATATTTATGACGTAAAAAATAAATTGAAAAACTTTGCGGTGCGGAAAATGATTTTGCATATATTCTAGTTTTAAATGCCATAAACATACATCGGTGATGCACTTACTGAATAGCTTGTAGCAAATGCTTGATGATATCAAGATCGGTGAATGTACTATCGCGCATCCACGCAACATTATCTGTGTCACTATTATAGATTCTTCTTTAGAACGTCTAACACAAGTTACATTGTTTGTAGAACAAAGCTTCTCTCTAAAACATATCATAATTTTAATCTCCATTTAAATTTTAAATTTTTAAAAAAGCCTTTTTATACTTTTTAATATTTATGATACTCAAATTTTTTTTATATTTAAATATTTATAATATTTCAAACTTTGCATATATTTATAATAATTTGTTTTTACATATTTTTTTATATTATTATATATTATTTATAATAATTTATCCTAATTTATTTCTTAATTTATTTCTTAATTATTTATTTATTATCTTAATTATTATTTATTTATTTATCTTAATTAATTATTTATCTTAATTTATTAATTTACTTATATATTTATAAATATTCTTTTAATATATTTTCTTTACAAATGCGATTAAAAACAGCTTAGCTCTTGCAAATAAGAGACTTAAACTTGCCCATCATGTGTATAATAATTTATCATCGAATTTAAATCAGACAGATAATTACGACACATCGAGCGTTAAAATATCATCTTTAGTAGAAAGAAACATTTTCCTATCCCTACCAAAAGGAAAAGGAACGTTCGCAATAAAGTTTTCTTTCGCAATAAAAATATTATTATCGTAACGTACTTGCGTTTGATTATGAAAATGGAAGTGTCGCGAATGAAAGGGTTAAATGTCACTCGCGACTCGCTTCTGCTAAACGCGCACGAAGGCAAAACGATGCGACGTTCACCTCGCGGTTTAGCCTCGTTCGAAAGTGGAGTAACGCGCGCAAGGTCGCGGCGGCCAGGCCGCGTGTCTCGCTTACGTCGCCTCGTCGTTCTCGGGTCGCGTCGCACAACAGTGAACGTGTCCGCTATCGTCACCGTATTGAGAAAAACGGGAGTAAATTTTCGCGTATTCTTGTCTCCGACCGCGATGGAAATACCGCTCCGTTCTTAAGAGCGCGCCGCGTCTTAGTTTCGTGCCGGAAGTTGCGAGAGAGTACTTTTTTTCTTTTTTTTAAATCTTTTTTCTGTCTTTCTCTCACATTTATCATGGTATTCTTATGTAATAAAAGAAATTTCTTCTTAATTTGATTACATCATTTTTGTATCAATAGCTATCAATATGTACAAATAATTAATTAGTTGAAATATTTCTTTAATTATGTATATATATTGTATTTATAAATATTATTTTTTAATATTATAATTATTATTATTTAGTAATTTTTAATATTATTATTTTAATAAATTTTGGTATTATTGTTATATATTTTTGTATATTACATATTTAATTTAATAATTTAATAATTTTAATATTATTATTATTATTATATTATTTTAATTATTATTATTTTAATATTATTATTTTAATTATTATTATTATTTTAATATTAATTTATTAATATTATTATTTTAATATTATTATTATTTTAATATTATTATCGATTTTATAACGAATGAATTTTGTCTCTTTCTCTCTCTCTCTCTCTCTCTCTCTCTCTCTCTCTTTCTTTCTTCCTTTTTCTCTTTCTTTCTTTTTCCTGAAATATTTAATTTTCTATTCGATGAT